TCGATCCTGTTGCATGAGTCTCCATTGTGGGTACACCTGTACCTGTATACACAAATTCAGGTACATGTAGACACGTGCACACATATATTTGAGCACATGTAGATATGTGCACACACATGTGGGGTACATGTAAACACACGTGTATACACGTACGTGCAGAATACATGTAGGCACTAGTACATGTGTAGACACATTTGAACATGTGTAGATAAGTGTGTGCACATGTACACACACATTGGGGCACATGTAGATACATGTGTACACACATTTGGGTGCATGTAGATGTGCATGTGCATACACATGTACATGTGCACACTCATATTCAGGTACGTGTAGACACACATGCACACACATTGGGTACATGTAGATATGCGTACATACACATGTACACACACATTCAGGTACATGTAGCTACATGTGTACACACATTCAGGTACATGCAGATACATGTATGCACATATTTTGGCACATGAACATGCACATGTACACCACATACACATGCATCTCCTTTCCTCCATTGGAGCATCACAGGAATGTTTAACCCTTTGCACTCCGCTGTCCCCTCTCAGGGGACATCGGAATTCTAGCATATCACTCGGATGTCCCCTCTCAGGGGACATTGCAGTTTATTAGTGATTACGGGAAATTGAGTTATTTCAACGCAACTTTTTGAGACATGCATGTTTCCCTGAAGTTTTATCTTGAAATGGCACAAGAAATTAAATCAAAATATCGTAAAATTACTAAGATATATACAAGAAATGTCAGCGGGTTTTGTGTCGGATTAAACAATAAACTACATATTCCCGATGTGGGACAAAGAAAACAGGACTGCATTGTGTGTTCTAACAGGAAAACACCTGGTGGCAGGCGTCAAACCACTTATTACTGTCAAACATGCACTAATCAGCCTGCAATGCATATTGGGGAGTGTTACAAAACTTATCATACTGTACAAAATTATAAACAATAAAATATTGTTTTTTTTGCAAATATACATTCCTCGATGTCACCCAATTCATATAAGTCCAATATCATTATAATACGTTACTTGGTTCCAAAATTATACTAAATAATACGAGGGTCTGTAAATGCACGTTTCCGCCGCAAAGTAGCGTCGAGTAGCTGGTAGCCAATGTCCAGAATGGTTCGGAGTGCAAAGTGTTAAAAACCACTGCTGCTTTTCAGGGACCAGAAAGTGCCTCCCCCAGTGGCACTTCCACCCCCATCAGCGAGGAGACAGTCCTTGTGACAGGCTGTGTTCACTCCGTGTTTTATTGGGGAGTCATCTGTGTGAGGTGTGGCCGAGTGTGTTCATTTTCACTGCTGTGTCTGTCACTCTAGAAAAGGCCACAATGGGCAGTCTGTGGAGGGCACTGGTCTGGCCTAGCTACTGCACTGCTTTGTCCATGTTCCACCCTAGGTGCCCATGTGCACTGTCCCCGTCACCGGGCAATGCCAGCTGCCACTCCCACTGCTCTCCTCTCCTAGAAAGACCGGCCGTCGCAGCCACCATCCCCTTCCTTGGGCCGCCTTTTCCTCTGACCCGACAGTCCTAAGTACCGCGTCTCTTCCTTGTGTTGCAAATATCCTCGCCTTCCCTCTCCTTAGGTGAGTGAGCAGATGAGCAGACCAGCTCTTCACCTGAATGCAGCAGAACCTCAGGATTTTCGTTGGTGCTTTTCCTGACATTCAGACATCGCCCCCCGCCCCGGGGCCTCGAAGCTGTCCTTCTATACTAACGCTGGAGAGGTGGACCGTTTCCTTCCACGTTTCACATCTGATGCGCTGGAACTGGTCTTGCACGTGGCTCCTGCTTTCCTATGTGAAAGGTGAACTCGCACAGCGCCTCCTCTGTCCGAAGGTAAGTCTTCCTGGGCTCATTCCTGGGCTCTGCTCTGTTCCACTGACCCATTTCTGTCTCCGTCGCTGTACATGGGTTATCCTCGCAGATATTATTATGATAACAGACCTGACATGTGGTACAGCAAATCCCAACTCTGGCCGTGTTCTCCAGGAGGACCTTGGCCATTTCTGGTCCCTTACTCTTTCACACTTATTTTTAAATCATCTTGCCAGGTTAAAAAAATTAAAACCTTGTTGAAATTTTGAGCAGAATTGCATTGAATCTCAGATCAATTTGAGGAAAATTGTTATTAATAGCAAGTCTTCCAAACCAAAATCATAGAATATCTCCCCATTTACTTATCTTCTTTAATTTCTTTCAGTAAAATATAATCTTTAAGAATTTTTATCCTTTATTTCCACGGGGGATTTATACAACTCTTGTAAAATTTATTCCTAGGGACCGGTATATTTTTAAAATTTCATTTTCTATTTATTTTTTGTTATGCAGAAAACAATTTAATTTTGTATACTGATTTTTTTATCCCGAAATCTTGCTACTCTTAATTCTAACATTGAAATTCATCCTAATTAGTTATTTTTATAATTCTAATAACTTTTTAAAAATATTTTTTCAGTGACTTCAGAGAGGAAGAGAGATAGAAATATCAATGATGAGAGGGAATCATCGATTGGCTGCTCCCTGCACGTTGGATCGAGCTCGCAACCCAGGCATGTGCCCTTGACTGGAATCAAACCTGGGACCCTTCCGTCCACAGGCCGACGCTCTATCCACTGAGCCAAACCGGCCAGGGCTCTAATAACTCTTAATTCTAGTAAACTCATCTGTAGAAATTTTTGTATATTCCATGTACATGATCACATGACTTACAAATGACAACAGTTTAGTCTCTCTAATCCTTACTAGAGGCCCAGTGCATGAAATTCATGCACTGGGTGGGGTGTCCCTCACCCTAGCCTGCACCCTCTCCAACTGGGACCCCTCGGGGGATGTCCTACTGCCGGTTTAGGCCTGAGCCCTGTGCAATCGGGACCACTGGCTCCTAACCGCTCACCTGCCTGCCTGATTGACACCTCACTGGTCCCCTGCCGGCCTGGTCGCCCCTGCCCTCCCGTGCAGGCTTTGTACCCCCAACTGCCCTCCCCTGCAGGCCTAGTCGCCCCTAACTGCCCTTCCCTCCAGGCCTGGTCCCCCCCCAACTACCCTCCCCTGCTTGCCTGATCGCCCACAACTACCCGCCCCTGCCGGCCATCTTGTGGTAGCCATCTTTTGACTACATGGGGCGGCCATCTTGTGTGAGGGTGTGATGGTCAATTTGCATATTAGCTCTTTATTATATACTAGAGGCCCGGTGCACAAAAATTTGTGCACTCGCGGGGGGGGGTCCCCCAGCCCGGCCTGTGCCGTCTCACAGTCTGGGACCCCTCGGGAGATAACGACCTGCTGGCTTAGGGCCTGCTCTCGGGTAGCAGAGGGCAGGGCCCAATCCCTAGGTGCAGCCCCTGGTCAAGCTCAGAGCAGGGTCGATTGGGGAGTTGGGGCACCGCCCCGTCATTGCACAGAGCAGGGCGGAACGGGAGGTTGCAATGCAACCCTCAGTCACGCTCAAGGTAGACTGATTGGGGGGTTGGGG